TTTTTATAATTTTGTGATGATGTGCATTTTTTCTATGTTTGTACATAAAAATTTTCTTCTCTCAATAATCGACTTTAATGATCAATATGTAATAAGAACCCAATTTTAATTTATTTAAACTTATATAATTACTATTAACAGTAAATTTATGAGAAAAGCTCAAAATTTTGTTAAAATAATTTCCTTATTATTATATAAATTGGCTGAAATAATGGTAACTAAGGATAATTTTCTGTATAAAAAGTAAAAAACAATATAGCTTGAATTCAGTTCGTTTTTAATTACCGCCCGTGTTTTTCCATAGTGATAATTACGTACCGATTTTTATACGCTTTTTAACAGTATTAATTTCGTTTAAACATAAATTTTTCGCAAACTAAATTTATCGAAACAATGGATTCATTTCTTATTTGTTCGGCTATGGCGATTGCTTATTTCTTTATTCCTGTTCCATTTATACAGGATCTCACTTTAGGTGGAATTTTAGTATTCTCGTTTCTCATATACTTGAACAATGAACTTTTCAAGGAGAAAAAAACTGCATCTCTTATTGGAAATTCAACTATGGATAGTAAATCTACTTTGATTGCAAGTCCAAATGCTATGCCTATTTTGGCAGATATTTCAACAACAGGCCGAAAATTTACAGATGCATCAGCACAAACTGTTGCCGTTGAAACCGAAAAAAACATTTTTTCAAACAATAATACAACTGACAATTCATTTGAAACCGACCTACCAAATAACGATTATGCCGACACTGACTCGCTCTGTCAGCTTCAAAACGCTACAGAGGAGAAGAATATTTCAACCCAAATATGTAACTCGGCTGAATCAACTCAATTCCATACACCGGAGTCCGCTTTAAATGATAGCACAACATCAATTAAACTTAATTACAACATTAATAGCTCCAATAATACTCGCCCTCGTTATGTCCCAAATTACTTGTGGGACAAGAGACACTTTCTGTTTACAAAATTTGATGACGGAATTCTCTTGGATTATGGTAATAAAAGTTATACTTAGGTAATCTCTAATTGTTTAATGTTAACTATAAAAATTGTTTTAGAATCATTTTATTCTATGTGCCCTGAAATGTTGAGCAAACATATTGCAAAAAGGTGTAAGGGTCACAATGTAGCAATGAACCCATTTTGTGGCGCCGGAGGAAACGCAATACAATTAGCAATGAAATATGAAAAAGTCATAGCAATAGACATTGATCCGAAAAAATTGGAATTTGCTAAAAAAAATGCAGAAATTTACGGTGTGAGAGATAAAATTAAGTTCATTATGGGCGACTTTTTTGCTATAGCTAATGATTTAAAAAAATACAAGCCTGAAGTAATTGTAACTTCAACTCCATGGTACATAAACCACCGAATATACAATTCGAAGAAAAACATTTGCACTGACTACGAAAAAGGAGGACGAGCAATCCTCAAATTGGCCAGAAGAATTGCTCCTAACGTTGCAATGCACTTACCAAAAAGTACCAGACGAAATGAAGTAAGTTTCTCTATTTCTACACGGTGCATATTACATTAGTTAATATTATCAATTTATTTTATAGCTGTTCAAATTAGGAAAGTACTTTGATAACAATATAGAAATCCAAAAAAATTTTATCAACGGAAAGCTGGATTCTATCACAGCATATTTTGGAAAATTTTACAATATGAACGCATATTATACACAAACTGTTATAAAATTATTCAATCGAAATAAAAAACATAATTAATTTCAAAATAATATTCAAATAAATAATAAAAATAATATGACATTATTAATATGAAAATTAAAATATATTCTTAAATAATTGTATCATATTAAATATTATATTTTATATATTATATTGTATAAACCTAATAAATATTAAATTTTCTTTATAACACTATTAATGTTTTATTACTTTAGTTTAATTTATAAAATTGTCACATATTAAAAACTGCTTTTAATACTATTGCAAGGGACATAAAGCATATAAGCTTCTCTTTACAAATTATCACCATTAGTCTAAAAAAAGACTTTAATTAGTAAAAAATACATTTGTTAGATTTTCAATTTTTCCGATGAAATACAATTTTACTATTGATAAAAATAATATACTTATCAAATTGTAAATCACAACTAAAATATATTAAATCTCGTTTCAGTTTATTGTCATAAAAGTTAAGAATTTTTTTTTAATAGAATTAATAAAAATATTGTTATTAAATCATTGTATAATATCAAAATTATATTGGGTTTAATGAGCGGCAAAACAATGGCAGTCGCGGCCCCGAGCGCGTGCAGATTTCTACAGTCGAATTTTAGCGGAAAAGTGTGTTGCAAATGTGCCATGAAATTAATGAATG